TCTGCAACCGCAATTATATTCATACACAAAAGAATTCACTTGATGAGGGGGAGAACATCCTTACGAATAGACGAACGGATCAGCCTACCATTGATCGGCCTGTTCTTCCATTTGTGCCAGCATCATGATTCCGCTCTTTCAGAATTGGGCACTTTTCCGCGTGATGATCTGGTTTATGTCAATATTACAGGCTTCCAGAGAATTGAAATTCTTCCTGTTAAATGATTTATGTATAGATTAAAATAAGATGTAAGCCTAAGGTGCAAGATGAAGTGAGTATAATAAATGTAGAAGTACATCCTAACCAGGCTGTACCAAATTCTGTCAGGTCTTCAAAGAGATTTGAAGACTATCATTATCTTGAGGGAAGATCAATTCTGGGTCTTTTACATCGATTCCTACCTTTAAACGGTCAATTGAGGAACGGTATTTATCTGAATTCAACAGCCGATTTTATGGGTGGACCTCCTAATACCCTGCATCACTGTTTTAGTTGCAAATCATATTTTCGAATGTGGGTTTATTTCATTTTCGCCAGGACATTATTATTAAAGGATCCACTTTTTATGGGCTTTGATGATTTTCTTTGATTGGAAATGCGATGTACCTTTTCGTGTCACCTGGATTATTGTTTTTTAATTAGTGTTTAGATGTGGCTATTATAATTGCCACGTATGAACCTAGTTAATCAACTTATGAACAGTAATTTCATCTATGGTGTCATCTCTATACATGACACATATTTTCTTTGTTTTTTTGGGGGGTGGGGGTGCTATTTGTATAGTATCTTATCGTTCCGGAAATAAAGGTGCATCGATTGACGAAAATACGTTTCATTTATGTCCATTTTCACCTTTAACCTAAAAACATTTCAAATTCGCAATCCATACACAAAACATTGAGATGGAAGCAGCGAAATGCTGGAAACTCAAGTCATGTTCTTAAATAGCCTCTTCAGATCGAGATTTTCATATGGATACTATGTATGGTACCAAACCTGTTCAGAAATATTTAAACAGTCAGCGATATACAACCGTTTTCTAACATCAATGGTTAAAAAACGATTTGAGCAATTAAAACCTGAGTGTCTTGGCAAAGATAATACTTCTTGGAACTTGATGGACTGGCGCTACAAAATCCCAAACAAAGAACTGTATCAAAGAACAGAAACCACGTCACTTGAGGACCATCAACAGCAGCAACAACTAAAATGGATATCACTTATAACTAGAAGAGAAAATAATAGCATCATCAAGATACAAACATTCCATACCACTACAAAGAAAAGTTTAGGAAGGAAACCCTCATTAATAGTGGACAGATAGATACAAGCTACTGGACTTGAGAAACTTATTTTCCTAAAAAGTTTTTAAAGAGAAAGATTTTATAAACTTCAAACGAAAGTCAATGAATGTGTCGGGTTACCTCATCTTAATTTTCGAAACCGCTTCTAGGGGACTCTTTCAGGACTATAAATACTCGGTGATATTTTTTCTTGGTCTCTTCTCACCTTTTCCGCTTACGTGTCAATATGTAAGTCTCTCATGAAAAACTCGTTTCTTTAAGGAAACGCATGAACAATGCATAAACAAACACACGTACGTACGCACATTCACTCACTACACATACATCGGACCATTAGATTTTTCACATTCATTTGATACACACATCTTTGTCACTTGTAATTCATGTTCTTAAATAGCCTCTTCAGATTGACATTTTCATATGGATACTATGTATGGTACCAAACCTGTTCAGAAATATTTAAACAGTCAGCGGTATAAAACTGCTTCCTAAGATCAATGGTTAAAAAAGGCTTAGGGCGATTAAAACCTGAGCGTCTTGAGAATAATAATACTTCTTGGAAGATTGTAGATTGGCGCTACAGAATTCTAAACAAAGAACTGTATCAAATAATAGAAAGAAAATTACTTGAGGACTGCCAACAGCAGAAACAACTAGAATGGATGGCACTTTCGCCTGAAGAGAAAATAAGGACATAATGAAGATGTTAACATCACATGCCACTTCAAATAAAAGGTTAGAAAGGAAACCCCCGCCAATACCGGAAAGATAGATACAAGCTACTAGACTTGAGAAATTTGTTTTCCTAAAAAGTGTTTGAAGAGAAAGATTTTATAAACTTCAAACGAAAACAGTATTGGTTTGCTCAGTCAATGAATGTGTCCGGTTACCCCCTCCTAATTTTCGAAACCGCTACTAGGTGACGCTTTCCGGATTATAAATACTCGGTGATATTTTTTCTTGCTCTCTTCTCACCTTTTCCGCTTACACGTCAACACGTAAATCTCTTTTGCTGATACATTATTATTTCCGCCCGGGGTAAGACGATAAACTACATCTGCGTTCTGGGTAAGACGATAAGCTACATCCGGCAGCAAGGCTTATTATCATGAGGTTTTGAGGAGCATGGCACCACCTCTTAATTGCTGGTGTTCCCAGATCAACCCTGACCCGTGGTGCTAGCACCTGTCAGGGTCCCAGATTTGGGCAAATATTTACCCCCCTCCAAAAAAAGTGTGTCAAAACACCATGAAGTATAAAAATAGGTTTTAATACCAGCAATATTTTTGGGGAAAAATTATTACCAGCAGAACGTTCTTGAAAAAGAAAAATATCACCAGCAATATATTTTTTGAAAAAAATATTACTTAAATATTAAATGGGAAACGTACGAACAATACATACACGTACACAAACACACGTACGTACGCACATTCACTCACTACACATTATTTGAACCATTAGGTATTCACATTCATTTGACACACACATCATTGTCATTGTCACTTGTGATCATTTATTGTAAATACATTATCCTTTGTTGGTTCTTGTCGTTTCTTTCATTTATTGACGTGGACTCACATCTCGAGTCTGCCATGTTTGTAGTGGGCATTTCAGGAGACACACGTGTTTATTTCTCAATCCTAACACCGACGTTACTAACGCCCGCAAAATATTAGGAAAGGTCCGCAACAAATGCCAAATATTTCCTTGTAGGGAAACGGTTAATATTACCATTAACACCATTAGTATTTCAGAATATGTAAATATGTAATAAATTTTAGTCACGCGTGGGATGTAATCATGTGTTCGGATGCCACCAATTGATAAACGCTACGGATTTTTGTACAAAGCCAATACATGTGGTGCGAATAATTCAATTCTAATTTCAACTTTAACACGTAGAGAAAACAGCTGAAAATGTATGTACAATAAAAAAAAAAAACATTGATAATTACATTTGCTTATATAAAGATAGTGTAACTTACATGTCTGAGTTGTTGAGTGTTTGGACAGCAAAGGAATTCTTCCGTCTAAACCAGATGAATTTCACAAGAATAAGGATTATGATAACAAGTAAGGGAATTCCAATTCCCAAACCAATTGCCAGGTAGGTGTTGTCTGAAAAGTAATATTAAGAAAAAGAAAAATAAGCAGAAGTGAAAATACCACCATTTAAACAATAAATCTCCATTCTAAAAAATTAAAGACATGAAATTTTAAGGCAGAGAGAATGGAATTGGCTTTTATTTTAATCATTTCATTTCAAGTAAATCAATAAAGCCACCAAGACATGAGGGTTTATTTTTCATATGTATTTTGGCACTAAATCAATTAATCAAACAAACACCATCATCAGGTATGATCATATGATGACCAACTGACCAGCTCCCTCCATGTCTTGGTTATGTGCTAATGTAAGAAGATAACGTTAATAATCTTCCAGTCTTACTTACAAGGTTACATTTGTTATTCGTGGACATTTGTGGCTAGTCTGTCCTCAAAGTTTAACGTGTGAAGTAAGTGAGTTAACTGAAAAGTGTTCCGTTTAGCAAAGGCAGGATATTCATATCGTGAGCAGGCTGATATGATTTTTACATAAGGCCGCGTAAATAGTAATGGACGCGAGGCTGCACGACTGTATTAGATTGCGTTTCCGACCGAAGGCAGTTAAGTCCTCCAACCTTTGCTGCTTTTTATCGTCGCGTTGCTGAAACAGGATCTATGGCACCACAAACTATGAATCGAGGAACACCGATTGTACTTTTAACAGCATCTACCGTAAACTTTAGGCTTAATAACTGAAAAACGAAGGATTTGCGGACATATGTTTATATGGAGTTTTGTCCTTGTTTTGGTGTAAGGAATCAAAGTTTGTAAAAGTATTTTTGATACAACCTGTATATGTGTGCGTGTGTGTGTGCGCTCGCGTTTGTGTTTGTGTTTTTAATGGGTTATAAGTTTTTTCAGATAAGACCATAAAGAGAAAATGTTTTAGTACTTACCATCAACTGAGCTAAAAAAAGGAAAAAAACAAGACTCAGATTAAAAAATTTAAAACATTTTAAAAATGTTTAATATTACGTCTTTAAACAAAAAGTAATATTTTAATATACTTCGTTATTCCTTATGGCTGAAATGTTGTGAGTGTAACAAGCACGATGCATATGTTCTTCTGAACAGTAATGCATATCATAATATATATGCATGTAATCTAAATCCTTTAAAATTTAGATTATATATATATATATATATATATATATATATATATATATATATATATATATATAATTTATTTTAGGATAGTAGAACATCTTAAAAATCGCTCCATAATGGCAATTAAGTTTCAACACTAGAAATGTGTCTCCTCAGGTTGTGTTAAACTACTGGCGAACATTGCCTGAGGAGACACATTTGTAGTGTTGAAATATAATTGCCATTAAGTAGCGACTTCTAACATGTTTCATTATAATAAAATAAATAATATTTAACTCTACTCTGTACTGAGCCCTCGTTTAAATTAAATGTGACGTACAGTGGAGTTATACTGATATATATATATATATATATATATATATATATATATATATATATATATATTAGGATATTACATCGAAAACATGTCAAAATCGCTATACAATTGCAGTCGTGTTTCGATGCGTATCAATGCATCTCATTAGGCAGTTGTAAATTACTAGCAAGTGAACGATTTATTTAGATTTAAAATCAAAATACAACCACTTTTACGAAAAAAAATGAAAGTGCTATAAATTTTGTGGGTCTTACTCTGATCAACCAATCAAATATGACCTCAGTTAAATTTAAAAAAATCGAAGAAGCAAAAATTAAAAAAAAAAAATTGTTATAAATGGGGCATGACCCGTAAATTGGCAGCTAACGACAGCACAGACATTAAACAGGACCGGATGTTTATGGATACAAAATTTATATACACTAGTCAATGCTATTTCTTAAGAAAAAATGAGGTGGGTAGGTAATTTAACAAAATACTAAACAGGTTATATGCTTTGTGAGCTTCCTACATAAAAAAATATAGTTGATAAATAAATAGTTTTTGTAAGAAACCAGTAAATAACTTAGACGTATAGAATTACTTGGTAAATTAATATGCAACTGCTAAATAAAGATTTTTCATATAAGATGTTAATAACAATAACCAATCAATGTAAAAATGTCCAAATACCAATACATCAGTACAAGATATTACTAATACTACCAGGAGATTAATACAAAATTATATTAATTCCAAATTAATGTTACAAATAGAATGATAAGCCATATTTGGTGCAATACAGTACAACTAAAATCTAAGAAAAATTTTGTCAAATACCAAGTCTAGCTGAATTGTAGCGTAAAAATGTAGACTGTGTTTGCAATTTAGAGTTAACTCGGTTCTTTGATTTAATAAAGCATTCTTATCAAGGAACCTGATAATTTCCAATTTTTCAAGTAAACACAGAAAACAAAGTTCATATAAGGATCTACGTGTCCTTGCCATTTTTAAAATTTTTCATTTCCCCTTAGGAGTTTAATTATCATCTTTCAAACTCTGAAAATATTTAGAAAGTCATGGATTATTTCTATAAGTATCATTAGTGAAGCACAGTACATGTTGATACCACGTAGTCTTGAAAAAATTCTTAGTACTACCAATATAGAACTTTTCAACCGTTGTATTCTCTATTGTAGAGATAGTACAAAGATAAACAAGAGATTTAGTTAAATGTTTGTTTGACAATGGGCATGGGCCAAAATTTCTACGATTACACTGACCAGTATTATTAACAATATTTTCCTTGGAACTTGTATTATTATCCAGATTATTAAATTGGTTTAACATTTTATTATTGTGTAACACTATTGCTCTACTTTGTATTGGGCCCTCTTTGAAATTAACTTGTACTCTATTCGTTCTCATCTTACCTGGATATATGTATGCATATTATTAATTAAGAGGTATGAATCCTCTTCTTTTCCCTCCAGCTATGGGTAAATAGCAAGACAGACCAGGTTCTATAGCCTTGGATGGCAACTGGTTTAAGAGAAGGAAAACGCTGAATTCAAAAACCTGCGGAGGATCGTTTGGGGATCTTGTAGCACGTAGTGCACCAATCTGTATTCGGCTCTTTCAAAAAGTGTGGATGTTCCTGTACAAAACCTTCACCATTATAATCAAATCTCATGTGCTGGTGTCGGGCTGTCAGTTCCTAGGAACTGATTTGCTTGACACTCATACGTCGAATTTCGATGTGAAAGTTGAGTATATTATTATTAATTAAAAAATATCAAACACTTAAAATCCCATAGGTAATAATTTTTATTTCATGAGAGTTCTAAAAAAGCAGCTCTCAAACTTCAAGACCTACAAACAAATCACAAATGAAATGGAAAAATTACTCTGGGTTAAAATCAAGAGATATTGCTATTTTATTTAGAGAGTGGGAAAAGACAGAGAGTGTTGTTCCTATTTTGTTACATTGACCACAGATTTAACATTAGTATGTCATTTGGAAGGGCATTAAGTGAAGTTAGTTCAGTGTAAATTGGAAGCAATCCCGTCTGGTTCTGTCAACGACCAAAACTACAATGCTGATATATTTCATTCAACAAATTATTTGTAAATAATATTAAAAGAGAACATTTTTAAAGATTTCAAAATTAGAAAAAAAAAAAAAATTCATAAGTTTTTATATAATTAACCAAGAAATTTAAATTAAAATACTTAAGAGATTTGAATTAAATGATTATTAATTATATCCAGAGAAACATTAAATGTAAATAGTGAACAGATTGAAAGGTTTAAAAAACATTTTTTTATTAAAAGTTTAACTTTAATTTCACTTTTCGCTACAATTGCAACTGATATCGTCTAATTAAACTGTAATTAAAACTTAAGCGGAGCAAGATACATTGCATATATGTTTTTTTTCTAACACACGTACTGTGACGTATTCGAAATATTGCATAGTTCGGAATCACTAATGTCTTTTAAGAGTGACTTTATGTGAAATGATCATTAAAAATGGTGATATTAAAAGGAAATAAAAAATTCACACAAAATAAATGAAAATAAACACGGGGATCGGTTGTGTATACGAAGAAAGTTTAAACCGAATTTAGGTGTCAAATAAAGATAAAATAATTGTATTATTTTTAAATTCTTATAACTTTTACGTACATGGGACGCTAAAGGCAAAAGGATGAAGGCCCAAAAGCTCACCACAGAAGTTAGACTAAAGTTCACCTGCAGGGAAGTTACTAGGCTGGTATATTAATAAACATATAAATATATGACAAAATATTTTTAAGGTATGCCATATTTATGGATTAAAGTGCTCAATATCAGGGATAGCACGTATGTAAATATAAAATTGGACATTGGAGTCAACACCCAGAGGCAACAGTTTCACGTTAAACACAATTATCAGGCCATGTGGGATGGCATAATGAATGCATTTAGCATGAAACAGACGGTCACCTGTGGGTGTTGAATTCAATATATATATATATATATATATATATATATATATATATATATATATATATATATATATATATATATATATATATATATGTCATGGTTTGGCTTGGCTAAAAAAAGATTAAGAAAGCATCTGTTCGTGTCGATTGCAGGCAAGTCTGAAGATCCAGAGAAAATAAAATTCTCCGATGAAATACATTATTACAAATGGAGCCTTAAAGTACTCTGTTTTTCTTTTAAATTAAATTATTCGCTCTGACTTACCACTGAGCTCTCAGGATTTCATTCTCCTTGGGATTATCCACACGGATTACCAAGATTTTCGTTACTTATGTGTATATATATATATATATATATATATATATATATATATATATATATATATATATTATTAGTGTGTGCAGCTTATATAGAATTAAAGAATTAAATAGCAATGTTAATGTAATTAATGGCAAAATCACTTCGCTAACAGGACTTAATGAGACATTAACTTATTATCAATACCTTGAATAATACGATCCTTATATTTGAGTTGTCAGATGGAAGAGACATGCTAAGTACTTTCGACAATTTCTAATTGTCATTTTCAGCGTGCAATTTTCTTCTATATAGGCAAATACTAAGACAAGATATGTATTTATCTGTTAAAATAAAATGGAGTTAGTATAATCCAAAGGAGGAATGATGGAGTAATGGATAGCGGATCGGACTGAGGAATCGGAGAGCCAAGTTTGAATTTCATTTGAATCCATTACATTCATTTATAATATTCTAATACCCTTGGGAAAGGTATGAATTTTCTTCTTCTCCCCACCCCCCAGCTATGGATAAATAGTAGGACAGACCGGGTTCTATAGCCTTGGATGGCAACTGGTCTACAGCAGAAAGAAATGGCAACCTACTGCGGGAAAAATCTGTCTCGTCAGTCATGTATCGAAAGATACATGATCGCCTAAGTGTGTATCACGCATGGCACATGACTGACTGATAATCCAATAAATAGATAAAAATGTCTAAGTAGTTTTCCACAGAATTTAAAATCCTGATTATAACTGTGCTACAGATCTGATGTCATAAATATATTAGAGTGTGCAGCTTATATTTTATATCATAAAGAAATATTTTATACAAAGAATTAAAGAATTGATAGTAAGTTAATGTCTCATTAAGTCCTGATAGCCAAGTGATTTCACCATTAATGACATTAGCATTGCTATTTAATTCTTTGCATAAATTGTTTTTTTATATATATATATATATATATATATATATATATATATATATATATATATATATATATATATATATATATATTTGGTATATATATATATATATATATATATATATATATATATATATATATATATATATATATATATATATATAAGTATAAATATGTATAAGTGCGTAGGTATGCAGAAAATAGAAAAAGAACACGTTGGGTTCCTTAATATTATTTTTTTATTTTTAAGAAGACAGTGCTCCATACAGAAGTAGAGCTTATATTATAATAATATTTTTTGTTTAAAAATATGATTCCTTCGCTACATAAGAGTTCTCATGTTTCAAAAACGAGAAATATCCAAATAATTATTAAAATTAAGTTGGATTGTGGTGTTTAGTCCCGTTTCATCTTCAAGCGAAATTTTAGGAATAAGCTATCTGTCGGTTTACGTGTATTTTTAGGCACGATTCGTTACAGAATTCGTTATTGTGGGAGTGGCTAGACTATTTTCCTTCGTTAAGTGGTCAGAGAGTTAATTCTTATCAATAGATTCATCATCTTCTAAGAGGTTTTGCTAAGGTTGAGTAGGGTATCTATTTCAAGGCTAATGTTTGCGGTCACCCTTTAGTTAGTTCCCAGTGAGGGATATTTTTTATGGCGCGCCTAAAATCGTTGTGTGTATGGGGAATTGTCTTTTTATTATTGTCCATCTGATTATCTATGTATTCATTTGTTTATTCAAGTGGGTGTTTTATATACAGATCGCATTGCACTGAATTTCAATTTGTTTTTTTTTTTTTTTTAACGACATATATATATATATATATATATATATATATATATATATATATATATATATATATATATATATAATTGGTAGTGTTTACGGCTACATCACATTGGAACACTAAAATCAAACAATGTTGCACCTGTTCAGCATCTCCATAGTTGACCGTTTGTGAATACCAGGTGCTTTAAGCGTGAATGTGCAGGTGGTGTAATGGTTAATGGCTCGGAATTGGTAATCAGAGAGCCGAGTTCCAATTCCTTTTGGGTTCATTATATTAATTTATGTGTCAGCACCCTTGGGAAAGGTATGAACCGAACTATGGGTTAATTAGTAAGACTTGTATCACTAAAACATTAGTATCTTCTACATCTATCACCTCCAAAAAATTCTTACAATCTAATTTTGTTTTTAAATAACCGGTATGGTTTTCACAAGCTGTAGAAAATTAATGAAAGAATGAACCAATCAATGATGGGAAGATCTCATAAAACAAAATTTGAATACTTACTCACAGCCTTTAGTGCACACAAACGCTGAAAAATGGAAGAAGAAAATTAATTTAATCATCAACGAGTATTTTAATGAAAATATGTATGAGGGGTGAAAGGTGCCAATATTTATTTGTAGTATTTTCTTTTAAATTTAGGCACACCTATTTTTAACAGGAAAGCAGCAGCAACTATCTATCTATCTATCTATCTATCTACTATATATATACATATATATATATATATATATATATATATATATATATATATATATATATATATATATATATGAATATTTGAAAGAAAAACAGACCACTTTAAAGGTACCATTATAATAATTTATTTCACAGAGCCCTTTTAACAGACGTTGATCATCAGATAGCACTTCCAACAGAAGTGCTATCTGGTGATCTGGCGTCCTTAAAAACTCTGGGGAAATAATTATCATAAATTATCATAATGGTACCTTAAAGTGGTCTGTTTTTCTTTTAAATATTAGCTATGGATTTACATTGAGCTCTCAGGATTTCATCCTTCTTGGGATTACCCATACAGATTACCAAGTTCTTCATAACTTAACTTATATATATATATATATATATATATATATATATATATATATATATAGAATATCTTCATTCAAGCATGTTTCATTAAATAATATTTTTATAATAATCCTTTCTAGTTCTCTAATTATCCACTTTATGTTGAGTTGAAATCCAAGGAAGGCGCAGTATTTTTGGTTAATCCAAGTACCTCAGATCTCCTCGAAGAGCATCCTCAGAAGTGAATTGCAAAGACGAACTTAATGTAACTGTAATCATTGTGATAGAGATTTTGCAAACACTCACGGATGCATTCTGCTATAATTATTTTATAATTAACTGTTGTGTTTACAATGTTTTGTAAACAAGCATTTCCAGTCCAAGGGTGATAACCAGAGATGGTAAAATGGTAAATTTTGAAATGATGTTAAATATTAGTCAACTCAAATGCATTTTAAAACATTGCTACTATAATCATAATAAATTTTGTTCGATGTTGGTTGGTTGCTTTTGATATCAAGGGCCTTAAGAATTTGAATTTTTGTTTATTATTTACATGGTGTAGTATATTGGTGTTGTCAACATGTATTTTCTTGTATTGTGAAGGTGAACAGCAATATGTCTTTAAATGTTGTGCAAATCTGACAAATGAAGTATAAAACGTCTTGATAATGTTGTATTCGTCAAACCAACATATGTAATTGCTTTTTTGTCAGAGATACAATCTCCCAAAGGACATTTAAATTGATATACAATATTGATCTTTCCAAAACGCTAGATTGAATGTATTTCGGTTAACAAAAAGTTTCCTGACAGATTTCAACTTAACATCTAGAAGATAATTAGAGAACTAGAAAGGATTATTATAAAAATAAAGACATAATATGTCTATATTATTTAATGAAACATGCTTGAATTAATATATATTGTCTAAATATATATATATATATATATATATATATATATATATATATATATATATATATATATATAGCCACTAAACTAAACTAATGAAGTTTCATCACCAGCAAGCAAAACACTGAATTTTCATCCATCACGATGAACAGATATCTCCCAGGGAGACCATGTGCCTTGAACGCCTATTATTCTGTGTTGGTTGGTTGCTCTTGATATCGAGAGCCTCAAGAAGTTGAAGTTTTTGCTTATTATATTCATGATGTAGTATATTGGCGGTGTTAAAAAGTATTTTCCTGTATTGTGAAGGTGGACAGCAATGTGACTTTAAACGTTGTGAGATGAAAATTGTATATGATAAATGGTGTGTAAGACATCTTGATAATGATGTCGTTGTCAAGCCGACATATGTACTGATTTTTTTGTCAGAGATGCAATCATCCAAAGGACATTTAAACTGATATACAATGCTGGTCATTTCAAAACACTAGTTTTTATTTTTTAAGCATTTCAACCTAAGCAAGGCAGGAGTGCCACAAGCGTACAAGGGGTTACAAAGAGTGAGAGCAAGTGTAAAGAGGGGTGTTTGAGGAAAGGATATAGAGAAGGAAGGGGATTGGAATCAAGCCATCAGAAAATGTCGATTGACATTATACTTGAATATTTGAAGATTATAGCCATCTGGGAAGCAAGTAAGAGGAAGGGAGTTACACTGTCTGGAAGTGTGAGAGAAGAAGCTGTTGTAGAAGAGATGGCTACATTTAACCATTTCGACAGTGACAGAGAAATGTTATTATGTATGATTATATATATATATATATATATATATATATATATGATAAAATATTGTTTTATGATATACCTTTTCAGACCAACACAAACTACGAAATAAACGATCAGAAGTCATCTCAAAATGCAGACACAAAAATATTTTACTATATAACTCATTCGCATTCTATTCTAGAGTTTTGTGGATTAAGAAAAATTATATATATGTTTCTCATCGGTTGATTCTACTTTATTTGCTATTTTCATGTATGAATTAGTACAAAAATAATTCAGCTGTCTACTTTAAACAAAAAATTATTATAAGTCAATTTAGGACTTACATTTGGTTGACAAGACATTCACAGTTTCGTTGAAAACTTTTAATCCATTGTTCTTGATGATATCTAATTTTTCATTCAAAGACGAAAGTGAATTTTCCTTTGTAATAATACTGTAGTCCACCAACACAGATCCAGCACTGAAAAAAAAAGAGGAAAATATATTATTTATCATCATCAACGTCATCATCATTACCACAACAAACACCACCACCATCATTATCATCATCTTTCAGTCCTATGACCTGGTGAGGCCATAGGTTCACGGCACAGCTGAACACTAAACCATTTCTTACCACATTCGTCTGGATTCAATGTATTTGTTCCATCTTAGGTCAGCGGATAGCATGAGACTAAGCAGGTGCAGATAGGCGCTCTCATGGAGTTGGGAATCAGCCATTCTGATGGGAGGCAGGGAGAGTTCTCCGTGGTGGGTAAATGAAAGCAGTTTCGTTTTGGAGGCATTAAAGTTTACAAGCCATTTCCTGCCCCAGTCAACCACAGATTGGAGGTCCTTTTCGGGACCAACGGCCATGTTAGTTTTGTCATCATAATCATCATAATCATCATAATCATCAACTTTCAGTCCTGTGACCTGATGTGATCATAGGTTCACAGCACAGCTGAGCACCATACCATTTCTTACCACATACCTCTGTTGAAAGGCAGAGGAAATATTCATTCAAGCATATTTTGGGCATGTCGCCTAACTATTTTATACTTAGTTTTTTAGTAAGTTTAGTACTAAAAATAGAATTTCTGGTATTGAGAAAAATGATTCAGGACCAAATTTTGCATTTTATGTCAAAAATTAGTTTTTGGTTCAGCTTTTGATTTGCATGTTTATTGTAAATCAGGACTATATAGAATTAATGCAACATATATCCGAAGAACTCAGTAGCCTAGAATTAATTGGAAGAAAAGATGTATTCTAATCTACTCCCCATATGATTTAATGCAAAATTTATTGACTGAATAGAACTATTCTAATCATCTCCACCCTTATTAATTAAGGTAAAATTTATTCATTGAATAGAGCTATTCTACACATCTACACGACTTATTAACTAAAGCAATATTTATTGACTGAATAGGTCTATTATAATCATCTACTCCCTTTATTAATTAAGGCATTTTTTATTGATAGAATAAGCCGATTCTACTCCATTATTAATCATGGCAAATTTTATTGAGTGAATAGGGTTATTCTAATCATCTACACTCTTTATTAATTAAGGTAAAATTTATTGACTGAATAGAGTTATGCTAAATATCTACTCCCTTACTAATTAAGGCAACATTTATTGACTGAATAAGACTATTCTAATCCTTTACAACCTTTATTAATTAAGGTAAGATTTACTGACTGAATAGGGCTATTTTAATCAACTTGCCATATTAATTAAGGTAAAATTTATTGACTGAATACGGCTATTTATTCCCCTACAGGCTTATTAATTAAGGCAATAGTTATTGTCTATATTAATCATCTATCCCATTATTAATTAAGGTAACACTTATTGACTGAATAGAGCTATTCAACTTATCTACTCACCATATTAATTAAAGCAGCATCCATTAAATAAATAGGGCTATTTTAATCTTTTACTAACTGTATTAATTAAGGCAATCAATTCATTGACTAGTTAGAATTATTTTAATCATTTGCTCCCTTATTAATTAAGTCAATATTTACTGACTGAATAGTGCTATTCTAATTCACTACAGCCCATATGAATTAAGGCAACATTTATTGATTGAATAGAGGTATTCTCAATACTCACCTTATTAATTAAGGCAAGATCCATTGACTGAATAGACCTATTTTCATCATCTGCTTTCTTTATAAATTAAGGTAAAATGGATAATGCTATTTTAATGAACTACACACTTTATCAGTTAAGGCAACATTTATTAATGGAATAGAGCTATTCCAATCATCTATGCATTTATTAATTAAGACAATATTCATTGAGTGATCAAGGCTATTCTAATCCTCTACTCACTATAAGAATTAAGGTGACATTATTTCACTGAATAGGAAACTTCTAATCAAATACTCTCTTATTAATTAAGGCAACAATTATTGAATTTATAGGTATTTTCTAATAATCATCTTCCTGATTAATTTAGGAATAATTGATTGCTGATTAGAGCTATTCTAATATATTTCCCTTATTTATTAAGGCAACGTTTATTGACTAAATATAACTATTCTCATCTTCTACTTTCTTATTGATTAAGGCAAAGTTTATTAACAGAAAAAAGCTTTTCAAATCATAATGTCATTCACCTTTGTAATCAACTCACCTTATTTTATTGATAATAACTTCAATAAATCCAGGTACGCTCTTAAATTCTTCTGTCAGCTGCAAGATATTGATAGAGACAATTTTAGTTACAAGATCTCAATAATTTCGTCCAAATACATTGAAAATATTTTAGTATCCAAAGTGTTAGCTTTAACAATTGTTTATATGTAATAAACCAGAAATGGAAGTTAATACCCTATGGCTAAAATATAAATGAACAAAAAATGTGTATCTGTGCATAGCTTCCATCTAAAACAAATGAAGTATGTATTTCAGACAAATAAAACTTCTTTCTGGCTATGGAGACTTACAAACAGAAGATTTTGTCTTGTTTAGACATCGGATTCCATGACTGGGTGTAGTCAGTGTGTAGCTAATACCTGATCAGTTTCTTGCAGACGGGAAGTATTCACTCATGCATAGCAGTTCTTGGGCAATTAGACCCGGCAGAGCTAAAGATGCTAGCAAAATTGTTGGTTTCCAGTACCATTCCAGAAAGTATCTAACTCATCCTGCCATTCTCTATCTCCATAGGAGTCAGATCAGACCAAATAAAAGAATGTTGCTGTCACATCTGGACCAGAGCAGCCGAGTCATTACTTTCATATCTTGACCAATTTCAAAAGAGTTTACAGAGCCTTGTGGGTGAGAAATAGTTTTCCACTCTTCAGTCTCTTTTCAATAGATGAAGCGTCACTCTCAATTCTACAGTTATTTTCAGGATTAATGTTCCAGAGAACCACATTCCTTAGTTCCACCAGTTTAGACCTTCACAAATCAGACTGCCATGCTAAGTACTCTGAGCCAACTCATCCTAATTGGTAAGGAGGAAGTTCAACTCCAAAAACTTCTCTCACAGAACTTGTACAATGTGTACTGATGGGATGCTTTCTTGATCACCGTGATCTTGTCCTCAGCTATTATCTATTTTGCATATCTTTTTAATCATTTCACCCTGAGCAAATTAATAATGCCAATAAGACGCAAAGGGTTACTGAGTGTTAAAAAATATGAGAAATTACTTTATGAAGAGAAAAGAATAAAAGAACAAGAATTTAAATTTTAAAGATCAAAGATAACTGGGAAACAAGAATTTAAAGACGAGTTCCTTAAGCGAGAAATGGAGAGAAGAAACAGTTAGTATAGAACTTACGGTTATATCTAGCCATTTCAAATATAAAATGATGAGACCTTTCCGTCAATCTAGTACTGCGTTTAAATTCATAAGGTATTGGTGCCATAGAGGAAAGTTCATTTACTCTTTATTAATTAAGGCATTTTTTATTGATGATAGAATAAATACGATTCTACTCCATTATTAATCATGGCAAATTTTATTGAGTGAATAGGTTATTCTAATCATCTACCTCTTTATTAATTAAGGTAAATTTATTGACTGAATAGAGTTATGCTAAATATCTACTCCCTTACTAATTAAGGCAACATTTATTGACTGAATAAGACTATTCTAATCCTTTACAACCTTATTAATTAAGGTAAGATTTACTGACGAATAGGGCTATTTTAATCAACTTGCTATATTAATTAAGGTAAAATTTATTGACTGAATATTATTTATTCCCCTGGGCTTATTAATTAAGGCGTAGTTATTATTATCTATTAATCATATCCCATTATTAATTAAGGTAACATATTGACTGAATAGGAAGCTATTCAACTTATCTACTCACCATATTAATTAAAGCAGCATCCATTAAATAAATAAGACTATTTAATCTTTTACTAACTGTATTAATTAAGGCAATCAATTCATTGACTAGTTAATTATTTTAATCATTTGCTCCTTATTAATTAAGTCAATATTTACTGACTGAATAGTGCTATTCTAATTCACTGCAGCCCATATGAATTAAGGCAACATTTATTGATTGAATAGAGTATTCTCAATACTCACCTTATTAATTAAAAGGCAAAGATCCATTGACTGAATAGACCTATTTTCATCATCTTTCTTTTATAAATTAAAAAGAAATGGATAATGCTATTTTAATGAACTACACACTTTATCAAGTTAAGGCAACATTTATTAATGGAATGAAGAGCTATTCCAATCATCTATGCATTTATTAATTAAGACAATATTCATTAATTGATCAAGGCTATTCTAATCCTCTACTCACTATAAAATTAGGTGACATTATTTCACTGAATAAAGGAAACTTCTAATCAAATACTCTCTTATTAATTAAAGGCAACAATTATTGAATTATAGGTATTTTCTAATAATCATCTTCTGATTAATTTAGGAATAATTGATTGCTGATTAGAGCTATTCTAATATATTTCCCTTATTATTTATTAAGGCAACGTTTATTGACTAAATATAACTATTCCTCATCTTCTACTTTCTTATTGATTAAAAGCAAAAGTTATTAACAGAAAAAAGCTTTTCAAATCGTAATGTCATTCACCTTTGCAATCAACTCACCTTATTTTATTGATAATAACCAATAAATCAGGTACGCTCTTAAATTCTTCTGTCAGCTGCAAGATATTGATAAGAGACAATTTTAGTTACAAGATCTCAATAATTTCGTCCAAATACATTGAAAATATTTTAGTATCAAAGTGTTAGCTTTAACAATTGTTTATATGTAATAAACCAGAAATGGAAGTTAATACCCTATGGCTAAAATATAAATGAACAAAAATGTGTATCTATGCATAACTTCCATCTAAAACAAATGAAGTATGTATTTCAGACAAATAAAACTTCTTTCTGGCTATGGAGACTTACAAACAGAAGATTTTGTCTTGTTTTAGACATCAGATTCCATGACTGGGTGTAGTCAGTGTGTAGCCTAATACCTGATCAGTTTCTTGCAGACTGGGAAGTATTCCTCATGCATAGCAGTTCTTGAGCAATTAGACCAGCAGAGCTAAAGATGCTAACAAAATTGTTGGTTTTCCAGTACCATTCCAGAAAGTATCTAACTCATCCTGCCATTCTCTATCTCCATAGGGAGTCAGATCAGACCAAATAAAAGAATGTTGCTGTCACATCTGGACCAGAGCAGCCAGTCATTACTTTCATATCTTGACCAATTTCAAAAAGAGACAGAGCCTTGTGGGTGAGAAATAGTTTTCCACTCTTCAGTCTCTTTTCAATAGATGAAGCGTTGCTAGTCACTCTCAATTCTACAGTTATTTTCAGGATTAATGTTCAGAGAACCACATTCCTTAGTTCCACCAGTTTAGACCTTCACAAATCAGACTGCCATGCTAAGTACTCTGAGCCAACTCATCCCTAATTGGTAAGGAGGAAGTTCAACTCCAAAAACTTCTCTCACAGAACTTGTACAATGTGTGTGCTGATGGGATGCTTTCTTGATCACCGTGATCTTGTCCTCAGCTATTATCTATTTTGCATATCTTTTTTAATCATTTCACCCTCAGCAAATTAATAATGCCACTAAGACGCAAAGGGTTACTGAGTGTTAGAAAATATGAGAAAATTACTATTATGAAGAAAAAAATAAATGAACAAGAATTTAAATTTTAAAGATCAAAAGATAACTGGGAAACAAGAATTTAAAAGACGAGTTCCATAAGCGAAATGGGAGAGAAGAAACAGTTACGGTTATATCTAGCCATTTCAAATATAAAATGATGAGACCTTTCCGTCCAATCTAGTACTGTGTTTAAATTCAATATGGTGCCATAGAGGAAAGTTCATTTGAAAATTACCATGAAAGTATGTATTGAAAGGCACAGGAAGCTACATTACAGCAGTCGTAAAAGTGACTGGAGCTGAGATGCCAGGTCATGACAATAACATTGCAAATAATATGCAACCTTTGCCTTCTCCTCATATGCATTTACAACATCCTCATTCAATAACACTCTACCTGAAGTGGCACTTAGGCCTTGTATTTGGTAAACAACAGTAAAATAAGAGCCATTAAGGACAACACCAAGCCAATGTTCTCTTGAAGGCTTATTGGTGGTCATGGACACGTGGCCGTTGATTCCATTTGGAGAACTCTAAACTATGGTCATTGAATTCCATTTAGAAACCCTCTCTCCACCAATACCATGTCATCATCTCATTGGCTGCTTGCATAGCAATGGAGCCTATGTCGTGCTAGATAGCCGTTGACCTTACAAGAAAGTTAATTGTCCCTTTGACATGTCTTGATTTTAATCTTTCTGGGTGTCTAGCAACTTTCTTCCACTGAAAAGTCTGGGGCAGGAACCCGTTTCGTCACCAATGACATTACCATGCGGCAGGTATTACTAGGTTACATGATAGCAGTAGCTCGTATATACCATATACTATCTTTTTTTTAAAAAAACATTTCACCCGACGCAAGGCGGGAATGCAACTAGTACGCAGGGGGTTACAAAAAGTGAAAGTGAGTGAAAAGAGTGGTTAAGTGGGGATTGAGAAAAGGATAAAAGATGAACAGGATTCAAGAAGACAGAAGATGGCGACGTCGCATTTAAATTTTGAAGATTGTACTTGTCAGGAAGCAAGTAAACGGAAGGGAGTTCCACAGGCGGGAAGTGCGGAAAATGAAACTGTTAGAGTAGAAGTGGCGGTGACATTTAACTATTTCAAAAACAAAAGGGTAGGACCTAGATGCCAGTCTAGTAGCACGCTTAAATTCATGTAGTCCTGGCATCAGGGAACCTACCTTAAACAATGTTACATCTCTTGAGCTATAATTATGTTGAAACATTTGTAAATAACACCAAAAACGAGTTTATGTAGCGATATCAGTTGTTAGGGCAGATATCTTGTTAAAAAACATCTGAAAAATGTTACAGAAAATGTTTTGACAGTTACTGTTTTGACAAAAGTTTAGCTGAGTGAAAGCAGAACTCACAAGAAACATGTCAAACGACCCTGAGAGAGAGAGAGAGAGAGAGAGAGAGAGAGAGAGAGAGATTGGCCCGCACGCAAAAAAAACGACACGATCGTTAAACTGTTCGGTACCTCATCTCGCCTCACTGTAACTTAAAATCTCCAGCAGAAGGTTGCAACCGAATAAAATTTACCGAATACTACAATTTTTGTCTCATTGTTTTTATTTCCTGGATATCGATCTGGCAAAGTTATTTTCTATGTATCAAGTCAAAGTGTTCGACTGGAAAACGTTGCCCTGAGAACCAACCTAATGACGGGTCTGGAGCTGTAACCCTAAATTTATCAGATTTAACATCTATGTTATAAAATAATTACTGGAAACTTATCAACTACTACTGGCTAAAATTATAATTCTATCTTTCAAGTAGTATGCCATTTTTCCTATTCTAACCTCTTTTTATAGATATCTGCATTCGTTTATCGCTAAAATACAGTCTCGGGATTTTAATAGATTTGATTACAAAATGTTTTAGCTGGTTTGTCACACATCAAAAGAAGCAATTCTCATGAAAAAAAAATTACGACCAATATGGAGAAACATATTCAAGATTTGTGTATTATATTTTTCCTTTCAGAATCTACCTTACATGTTTATAAGTCTACCATTCGTCCATGCACATGGTACGAGCTTCTATTATATTGAGATTCCTGATAAAATTCAAAGAAAATACATAACATTATTGATCCTTATCCTTTTGGGCAGTTGATTGAGAAAGCGTGTCCTGATAGTAAATTCATCCCTATTCACAAGTCTCAAATGGTTCTTTTTTCAATTTTTCGTGAATAAACTCCAATTTCTCCACAATACGAGTTGCTTTTATTATTTATTTTTCTTGAGGCAAGAATGAATAAGGAATAACCCCATCTGAACCACCATACAGTTTAACTTTTAGGGTGCAGTGGAGGTTTTGGGTATTGTTTTAGTGATCCACTTGGTATCTAACCACTGGCCTGTTCTCATACAGTTGTCAAAGAGTATCCATTTCTCATCATATCGAGGCATATCGAGACTCCCTGCGCCATTCTATAAAATATTATAGCTCTCCATTAGGTACACAATTTTCCATTGTTTTCACATATGTTATTAAGGAGGTTATGCAATTATTTGTTAAAGTGATAAATTTATTATCCATTCCGCTTTTATTTTCTTACACTGTTGATTCGGTTATATTTAGTATTGGCAGGGTTTCAAATGCTAACATTTTGTTTTCCTTGGTTTATATAAACCCACAAAATACCCCCACCACAAAAAAATGACGTAATATAAATTGTGAATATTTAGTAACTACTGGTTCCATACAAACGACATTAAATAGATTACATGTTGAACAATAACATATTTATTTGTCAAAATTTGAACAAGATATTCAATTTACTTGAATTTGAAAGACATGTGCCATTCTTACAAGGGTTGCTTTTACACAAATCGATCCCTGTAAATAAGGAAAAGATAAAAATTCACTTGTCTTAAACATGCATCATTTTTGCAAAGTGAAGGAATTACTCATGCAAATATTTCTCTTTTATTATAGCATACCAATGACATAATTACAAAAGTCAGAATAGAGATTAGAAAGTTCTAAAGTCTTGTCTGTTACAGGAATTACAAGAAAAACGACCATATTCAATGGACTCTAATTTCATGAAAAATTGTTTTATTAAAAAGACTTTATAAATTTCAACCTAGAGTAGGACTATTTGTTCAGTCATTGAGATTCGAATGATTCAAGTAAGGAAAACAATTTTAAAACCATTTTGGCAAAATCCAATTTTACAATCAGGTCTTTGCTGCCATATCTGGTTTGGTATCTGGTCTATATATATATATATATATATATATATATATATATATATATATATATATATATAAAATCGTTGATAAAATTCAAAGCATTTGCAATATTATGGGTCTTGAGCTGGCATCCTTGCTTTAGTCATTTTTCCACCGCCGTACTGTAGAGCTTCCCTGTTCTCTGAATTTAAGTGCAGTGCGAGATTATCGGCAAAATGTCATCATTTTACAGTCGAAAGGGTTAGCTGTAACAGGGAGTTCTATATTACCAGTTTCTTTTCTTGCTTGTGGAACTTCTTTCTCGCACTTCTTGCTTGTGGAACTTCCTTCTGGTTCCATGTTTACCAGCCAACTTTTATCTTCAAAAATGTAAGTGCAATATCAATGATTATCCTATTTGTTAGTTCTAGTCAGTTATTGTTCTTGGACCTCAATAATGTTTTTTTTTTTTTTTTTTTAATATTCGTTCACACTCAGTAACACCCTTGCGTCTGTTGGCTTGTTTTGGTTGAAATGGTAAACAAAAAAAAACTCTACTGAAAAATGGATTGAAAAACTCATAGCAGAGACAAGATAAATAAACATTTAATTTCTTATTTTATTCAAATTCAAAGAGGTACTTACATGTACAAGTTTTTGTCGTGTTGTCAAATTCATAGCCATTTTTACAAAGACATTGACCGGTGCCATTGCTATATTTACAAAACTGATTTTTGGTGCAATTAGCTGCTTTACATGCTTCAGATTCTGAAATAAACAAAAATATGGTTTTCCGTACTAAATCTTTCTTAAATGAGTCATGTAATGTATTATCCAATGACCTCAAGATACTGTGACTTTACCTCACCTGTCTGTCAAATAACTTATTCTAACAAATGCTAGATGATTTTGCCAAAACAATATATACTAAATGCGAATTCAAAAGTCTCATTCACTCTTTCATCTTTTAGTAATAGAGTTACCTCAGAGATGGGTGGTGTTTTCGATCTGGAGATTTTTGATCCCCAGCAAAGCACGTCGCCTTTTAAACATTTGATATTCAAAAAATCGATTTAATAATTTGTTCTTAATTTCTTTGTTGTTATCACATTAACGTTCTCAATAAATTCTTTCTTTTCTTTTTAAGTTATGTGGCTTATCCAATTGATATTTTAAAAAAAAAAATTGGCTCTAGGCGGCGCTTTTTATGATATGAAATTCACACTCAATCACTTTAACAGATTTTCGGCTCTGGCATTAAAATATCGTCAACGTAAAGTTGGAACGCGGCCATAAGGCTCGAGGGCGTTTCTCACTTTTCTCTTTTACAGCTTCTGGTTTTAAGATGTAGTTGCACGTGGTGTAAAAAAAAAAATGTCTCCCCTTTGGTGCAAATTTTGTTTTCATGGTTTTACTTTTCTCTCTTGACTTTTGTACTCTTTTCACGTGGACCGACACACATTTCACACACACACAAACGCACATTCTCTAGTTTTTAATTTTCTTTTATGTAATCTTTATTTTTTCTTCTTTTATTGGAATTTTAATCCCTTTTGTCACTACATTGAATTACTTGTCGTTTGTTTTATAGACTTTTATATATATTACTCATTTTTACCTGGACTCACATTGAGTCCGCCAATTTATGTTTGTGGGATAAATTTACCAGGAGAAAGCTTTCACCAAAACATACTAGATATCCCACACAGCTATAAAAATATAAAAATTAACATTGAACATTTCAAAGTAATTTAAATTTGCACCGGAATATATGAAATGAGACATTTGATAAATTGATAAGGTATAAAATTAGCAATAAATTTTTCAATAGTTGAAATAAAAACAAATTTTAATTAGATAATAATTATATTAAATTGCAATAAAAAAAAAATAGTTTAAATATAAGAGAAAAAAAGGCTCAGATTCATAGTGTGCTCCAGCAATTAACATATAAATTAGTCAAAACTTGGCAAGGAAGTCTTTCTGTCAACCAAAAGATCGTATTTTGTTTTTGAATGTCGTATTTTGTAAGATCATATTATGTTTGAACCTTTCCAAGAAGTTTAAATTAGGATCGAAACATCGGAACATATGTGTTGAAAACATTTAACAATCTCTTCTAAGCTATATTGTGACAGATTTATTAAATATGGAATAGGATCAATAACTTACGTTGTATCAATGAGCAGGTTTGCCGATCATCATTCAGTTTATAACCCTCGAAGCAGTTACATATATATGAACCTTCATTGTTATTGCAAATTTGTTCACATCCGCTTAAATTTTCTTGACACTCATCAATATCTGAAAAAATATAATTTTCAAGAATTGTAAATGTTGTCATGTGATTTCCACAATACTTGATTTCGTAACGATTTCAACCTTGAAATTTGTCCTAATAATAATAATAATAATAATAGCACCAACCAGACACAGTTATTCAAAATAAGGATGGGCATGCCAATTCAAACAGGGAAATAAAAGCCAACAGACTTAATATTGTCATAAAGACAAGACCCGGAAGGAAATTTGTATACAACAGAAATCAAAGGAAATAATAATAATAATAATAGGATGTCCGGAACTAGCATAAAATGAATCTACCCACAGACATAAAAAGGTAGCGATATATGTGCACTGGAAGTTATGCAAGAAGCACAAATTCGAAACCACTGAAAGATTGTATGAGCACCAACCATTCAGTTACCCAAGTAACATAGTTACCCAAAATAACGATGTAACTATCCTCTGGGACATGCTAATTCAAACAGGAAAATAAAAGCCAACAGATCTGATATTGTCATAAAAGAAATTCAGGAAGTGTGTGCTTATTGACATAGAATACCATCTGATAGAAACACCGCCATGAAAATTATCGAGGAATTGTCCAAATACAAGGTTCTGAAGATCAAAATTAACAGGATGTGGGGAATGAAGACTGAGACTGTACCAATAGTAATCGCTTCTCTGGGCATCGGGAGAAAAAGAATGAATAATTTTACTAAGTGTCTCCAGTAACATCAATATTCAAGTTGCCCAGAAGATCGCCCTACTAGAAACATCCCATATAAGTAAAGTGCTATTAATTAAATGGGAATTCTTATATAGGGCCTAAAGGCCATAATTTGGACCGGCTCTACAGGATAAAAAGCAGGAAACATAATATACACAAATAATAATAATAATAATAATAATAATAATAATATACTAACTAAACCCGTGGAAATTCGACAGTATTTCTATGACTGACTTTTCTGATTAAATTATGAGCTTAAATTCTGACAAGATAGACGTCAGTAATAAATAAACATTAGTTATACATGCTTCTTTGCAATCTTAATTACTCATGTGAAAATATTTTTAGCAAGGAGTTTGTAAACACCAAGAGGAGAAGTGGACGGATCTGAAAGATAGATTTATTGATCCGAAGTATATACAACAACAGCTTTCACTTCTAAATAACCACTTTGGATATATATTCAATAAAAATATACACATTCAAAGTTTGCACCAAAAATATACACAAAAGTAGATCGTATACAAAGATAGATTATGATGAATTAAGGACTTAAAGAATTAAGCTAATGTTTAATGAAATAAAATAAATTAATAGAATTTCGTATTTCAATAATTAAAACCCTGGATATTGGCATTTACTTATTTGCGACTTCCTTTTTATAATTTTACAACTGCACACATTTAATTAATAAATTTGCATCGATTATTTCCCATTGAAATGCGTTATCAATATTTTACTTATATAGACCATAGCACAATATATATATATATATATATATATATATGATATAATACGTTAAAATTTTCTTTGCTATGTGCCGGTAACTTAGGGTTAGCGTCTCTGCCTGTATGCCTAATTTGGGTTTCTATCCCGGCTTTAAAAATCAGTGTCTAGCCACATTATTGAGCTGTGATACTGCGAAACAGGCTTGTTTGTGGATGACTCCTATAGATATATATATATATATATATATTTATATATATATATATTTAAACATGTTTGTGTGTGTGTGATGAAGTGTGAAAATTTTTTATTTTTTGTTAGTTTTTTTTTTTCTTTTTTAACCTTTCTGTTTTTTGTTTGACGGACAAGAAAAAATTTTATTAATTTTTTGATAGTTTAAGTTTTCGGAAGTCACACATTTTTTTATAATTTCAATTTTTTAAATATAGTATTTTATTTTTGTTTGACATGGACACACATGTACGAGTTTGAGTCGTCTGTGACACACACGGATGGACACACACACATACAAAAGTATATATATATATATATATATATATATATATATATATATATATATATATATCTATTAAATTTGGTAAGTAACCGTTTCCTGGAATTAGCATGGGGTGAACTTGACAGATTTTGTGAAAATATGAAAAATTTAACCACTTACGTCTTAGTGCTTTATTGCCTTCCTTGGGGTGAAATAATAATAATAAAAAAGAATTTAAAATATATTTCTGCTTTATATAATCCACTAATGGATCATGAACCGTAAATAAAAGCAAAAAAAAAAAAAAAAAAAAAACATGAATGAATGAATCAATTTCATCTACCTGTACAGTTTTGTCCATTCTGGCTGGAATATCCATTTCGACATTTGCAGACATACGATCCTTTTGTATTCACACACAGATCTGTACATGGATTGCCTTCCTGGCATTCATTAATATCTAAAAATGAAAGGAAACATGAAAATAAAATATACAATTTATTTTAAGGTGAAAATAAAGCTTTATGATCAACTGACCAAATACAGCTTAGGTTATATAAGAGAATATATATTTATAAATGAAAGAATATAACACATTTGTATATAGAGATGGATGCGTATAGGGATAAAGGATATCAATACGGAATGTGGCTGGAGATTCAGTTTTAGGCCATATGTGAACTTGATCCATTCCGCATTTTGAAAATGGATGAATCCATATTTACATTTTTTCCAACTTCCTTGGGGTGAATAGCAAATAATTGAAAGAAACAAGATATATTTCAAACATTATATTTTGGAATGGATCATGGTGGCTGCCAAAAGTCTAGAAAAATATTTGAATTCAAACATGCATAAATTATAGGACAGACTGAGCTCTTTGGTTTTGACCCAGTCAGTCTAGAAGAAATATTTGAATTTGCAAACATACGATCCTTTATAGGACAGGACTGAACTTTTTGGCCTTATCTGGCAGTCAGTTTTGGAGAAAAGATATTTGAATTCAAACCTTCATAATTAATAGGATAAAATGAATTCTTTGTCGTGGACTATCACAAAGTCTAAGAATAGAAAGTTCTTTGGTCTTGCAATGTAACTGGAAGTAGTTAAGAAAATAGAGCGTAATAGTCCATCAGGATAATACTTGCCTATATGTTCTTTTGTTAATGTTTAGTTCGTTGTACCAGACCTGAAAATATCCTACGCCACTATGAATACTCTATTTTTACAAGACTAAAAATGGAATATTGTAGCCATATATAGGCTGGCGCTGCCTAATCTTCTTTCAAGGTCTGATTTCAAAAGTATTTATGCGGCCTTGTACTTTTGTAGGTTTTGAGAAGCGTGGAACCACATCTTAATTGCTGTTGTTCCCTGGTCCACCTTGACCCGGGGTGGTAGCAACTGTTAGGGTGCCAACTATAGTGAACCCTCAAACTGAGTTCAACATATTATGAAAATATAAAAATACATTTTCATGGTAAACTTTTCCAGCAGTAGATTTTAATAGTAAAAGATTACCAAAACTCTCAAAGAAATTAAATTTCTCAATTAAATGACACATAAGGAGTTGATATGCCGTTAAACAAATGAAACCAAACCAGATATTTACAGCTTAAACTCGTCATGCTACGTAGACAGAAGCAAACCATCCTCATTTCCTTTTCTGTTGCATTGGTAAGAAGAAAGTTCTATTCGCATAGTTTCTTCACAACAGCCTATATTTTGGGGAACAGACTCCTAAGATGATATTTCCCTGAACACTACAGTCTTAACCTCTTCACGCCCAGAGTCAAGTCCTTATGATCTATTGTCCTTACCTTCATAAAACAGCCATTTATTTAGTAACCATCTACCTCGTGTGAATCTTGGGACTTTTATTGAACGATTAATAGCACAATAAAAGCTAAAGATTTCTACAACTTGGCTGGTAGTTTTTCATTCATAAGCTATATTCACCAGATAATGCAGTTCTTAAAGAAAAAAGAATATAATTCTCTGGGAGATGAGTAATATAAACAAGTCTGAGAGGAATGAATTACGAACTTGTATCAAATATGGTGTAACAAGACGGTGAATAGCGTAAATTTCGGCATACAAGTCGAGATTTGATGTCTAAAATATATTTCAAAACTCGGAGTCGACTTATATGACGGACGTGACATGCAAATCTTTTCTACCGCTGTTCAAAAAATCCAGAGACAGATATACAATGTGATAGGTCCTGATCTGGTATCTCGTCGACAGTCACTCTCTCACATACCTGCTGCCTTGCCTCTGTCTTTTCTAGAAGTATTTTCATGGCAACTGCTCTGACGAGCTACATTCACTGGTTCCTAAACTGCATGAATTTAAGCGTGCTACTAGATTGGCATCTCATCCCCACCCTTTCATTGTCGAAACGGTTAAATATAGCTGTCTCTTCTACTCCAACAGCTTCTTATCTCGCACTTCTCCCTTCCTCTTATTTGCTTCTCTGATAGCTATAATCTTCAAATATTTAAATAAATATAATGTCAATCGACATCTGCTGATGCCTTTATCCTGATCCCCGTCCTTCGCTGTATCCTTTCCTCAGACACCTTCTTTACTCTTGCTCTCACTCTCTGTAACCCCTTGCGTGCTAGTGGCATTCCCGCCTTGCTTGGGGTGATATGCTTAAAAGTACTATCAAAAAAACTACCTGGTATGATGTGTAATCTATGGTGTTAATATTTATAGAAATCGATGTGAACTTTAATGTGTTTACACGTAGAATTTTAAATGTTCGCTAACAAATTTTACATGATCGCCAAGTTATACCGATACAATATATGGTTACTACCAGTGTCTGTTGTAAGTTGTTCGCTATAGAACGCATATAGAAAGATCATCATCATAGCTTAGCTTTGCAAAACGATGATCAAGAAGGAGTCTATACATGTCGTTTGCAGGCACGTTTGTGACTGATAAGTCCAATGCGGAACAGGCATACTCGGTCGCAGTAGTTGCAGCTGAAAATTCGGCCTGGGCTCGATGGCATAGCGTTGTAGTACTTCCTCTTCTGCCTCTTGTTTCTGAGAGCGGCCCTACTGGTATTTTTAAAGAAGGAGACTTCATGTTTGGTGGCATCACGGTTCTCAGCTACGGTTAACCATTGGCAATGGTTGGTGTGAAAAGCACCAGATGATTTTTTCAGGCAATCTCTGAATCGTTTCTTTGGTGAAAGATATAGTTAGTTTCTCAATATACATTCAAGTCGTGTGGCCTTATGTAGTTTTGGCACAAGTTATCGCATACTGTAGCCTAAATTCATTTAATGGTAGGCCTAATTTTGGGTCACTAGCAGCCGATTGTATGTTTGGAGCTTGACCAATATGTCAAGCTCCAAACATACAGTCGGCTACTAGGTTAATAGGTTAACTTGTACACCGCAATTTATATGTTTCTGGATGGGGCGTTATTATTTTTATTCGGAATAATTCTTCATCTTTGTTCTCATTATCACGTTTCAGCAGTTACGCCCTCTGGGCTTCTTTGGGTGTCTCTTAATCTGAATTCTCTTCGAGGAATTTTGAAATTATGCCTTTATTTAATTTACGAAGTTACATTGTTGTCTCACTGTCTATGTCAAGGGGTATATCTCTTCTTGGCGTTACTGACATATCATATTGAAATACTGGTTGTCGCAAGGGAATATCAGGTGCTGTAAGCTTGGATGTGCGTCGGGTGTAATGGATAATGGCTCAGAATTAGAAATCGGAGTTCCAGTTTCCATTTCCAGTTGGGTTCGTTATATTCACTTAGATGCAAATACCCTCGAGATAGGTAGCAATCTACCCTTTCGCTCCGACCAACCCAAAAATAGGTTAATTAGTACGACATTTATAAGTAAATCATTGTTATTTCCCAAAAATAATTACAATCTAAAAAAAGTTTTTAAGGATTTAAATAATCTGCAATAGGTTGATAAGCCGCAAATCAAAAATCAATAAATCAATCTCTTCTTTATTTTTTTAGCACTTCTGACTTCTGACTTCCTTTATTTAATCTATGAGGATAGGATGTTGCTGTTTTACTATGTCTAAGGATATTTAATTTTCTTCTTTTTCTTTCTTACTCATTGGTCCTATCGTGTCTGTATTATCAAGCCTTAACAGACAGACAACCAAAGATGGCCGTGTGATCCAATGATCAAAATTTGCGATGATAAATAAAAATGAAAACATTATTCCAGATGTAAATAATATAAACAATGGAAAATATATTGGTTAATAAAGTTGATATCAAAAGTAATAATTATACTTTTATTGTATAAACTAAACTAATATATAGTAATGAATAAATCGAAAACAATCATTGCAAATAACTTACAATCAAGACCTTGCGTCATACTTGTCTATTATTTAATGAATGGTAGATCTATATTGTTTGCAAAGATAAAACTGATATATTCTCTTTTACTTACCAACACAGCCATTTCCTTCTTTCTGATATCCAGCAATGCACTCACAATCATAGCTGCCATTTTTATTTATACACTTTTGTATATTTGTGCAGTTGTTAGCAATATCGCACTCATTAATATCCTCTGAGCATTTTGTTCCTTTCCAACCATCTTGGCAGATACAACCTTTTTCTGGATTACATTCAGCATTGTTTTGACAGTCGCACGGTGTACTGCAGTTTATTCCCCAGTGGTCGTCATCACAAACTGATAAAAATAGTAAAATATAAAAGTGTATTTTACTTATTTTATGAGAAAATAAAAACCATAAATCTTCACTAGTAAATCATTTTTACATCTTAATACTTGTTTGACACGTTTAGATCTAATCAGCTTCTTTTTACAACTGAATCTAATGTTTATTTGCATCATCTTGTGAAGAGAAAGTAAATACAAACCTTCATCAGTAAATAATTTTAACACCTTAATAATTGTTTGACATAATCACCAGATCTGGTCACCGAAACATTGTTTACAACTAAATCTAATGTTTATTTGCATCATCTTGTGAAGAGAAAGTAAATACAAACCTTCATCAGAAAATAATTTTAACAGTTTAATTCATTTTAAACATACTGACCAGATTAGACCAACCAAACTTTGTTTACAACTGAATTTCTAATGTTTATTTACAATCCACAAATATCTAAAAAAAAAAAAAAAAAAAAACAAATAATTTTAAATGAACTTTGGTTAATTCATTTTAAACATACAATAAGATTCAGATTAGACAGAATAAATCTTAAATAAAGTTTAAAATTTAAAATTATCTCGGCCTATTCACAGAAATAGGACAAACCATTCTGAAGAAGAAGTTTCAAAAAAAACTTGAAAAAAAAAAAATAAAAATCTAAAAGAATGAAATTATTGAGAATACAACATTATTAAAATCAGGTAGAACATTGATCACACAGCAGGTTGGTATCTCTTGATATTTAGTGATAGACATAAAAATACAATAAGTGTGAAAAATTAATAACTACAAAGAATGACCACATGAATACATTTCTAAAATACATGCAGCAAAAATTGAGGGATCATTGATAAACATTGATTATCCATGAGAGATACAAGATATTACACGGGTATAATGAAGGTATTGAAAATGAATGCATTTCTAAAATTATCTATGATGCAACAGAAAGTTAGGGATCATTGATAAACATTGATTATCCATGAGAGATACAAGATATTACACGGGTAGGATATTGAAAATGAAGGAATTAAAAGCAAAACAAACCGTTTCCGAAATAATGAAGAACACAACGATGATTGGAAGATAATTGAGAAACATTACTTTGCCTAGACTTTCAGTGATAGAAGAAACAGATTAAGAGTGCGAAAAATAAAGGTTATAAATTGAAACAATGAAAAACAAATGAAAATATATCCCTTGAAATCATGGGGATAAGTTAGATAATTGGGGATCATTGCCTTTCCTAGATTTTCAATGATAGAATCAACATTTTGCGAACAATTAAAACACAATTAAATTATTTCTTGAAATTATTAAGAATACAGCGGAGAGTGGTAGATAATTGGGGATCATTGCCTTTCCTAGATTTTCATTGAAAGAAGCAACATATTACAAATGTGAAAAATAAAGTTATATAAAGTGAAATAATTAAAACCAAATGAAACTATTTCTTAAATCATCAAGTATACAATATTCTAGAGGGACTCGATGTCTCTTAATATCTGATGTAATGCACCATATATTATGACTGTGATAATTCTATTATAATTGTGCTTGTTCCTCTGTATTTTAGTTAACATATCCTACAGATACATCATAAATACTGGACTATTTTTTTGATTTCGTGAAAAGACACCAATTAAAGTGAAAATTAAAGAAAGAAAGAAAGTTAGAAGTATTTAACGACTCTTTCAATAAAATGCAAAAAGTTACCAATTTCAAATCCTTTCATCTATAATCAGCTCTGAAAATAACGACAATCATTCTTATTTATGATTGTTATTGCAATAATTTTTTTAAATTGTTAAACCCAACTAAACAGCTGTAGAAATGTATCTGTTGTTTCCTGTTTAGGGTTCGGTTTCCGGTTCCTTCAAAGGTTTGTTCATTCGCTTATGCTTTCCCAATCACAATAATCTTGACCTATTCAAGTCTATTTAGTTGTTATCTTTTCTGCATCGCCCTCACTTCTTGCCTTTAGTTACGCTCTTACAACACCAGGCAGCAACCATTTTGGTCATTGTATTTGATGAACATTAGCAAAAAAAAAAAAATGAATGGATGAATGAATGAAGGAATGTTATTTGTTGTTCTTTTCATAGGGCCATTATTTCATGAGATATGTATTGACTGATCTGCATATTTTACGGCTTATCAACCCATTGTAGGTTATTTAAAGCCGAAACATATTCAGATTTTAGGAGGTTGACTTTAGGTATAAATAAGGCACTACGATACGATAAGGGAATTTCGACAGATATTTTATTGCTGTAGCGCTCAATATGAGCTTACTGATTCATTAACTGAAGAATAAAGATTCATCAAAAGAGTCAAATAGGAAAAATAATGGAATTTTCACGGGTGTTTCTAGTATTAATTATTATAATAAGGACTGAAATTAACATACCTTCACATTTGATCTTCTCAATAACTTTTTTACCATTCGGACATGTGCAATAAAAGGAGCCCTTTGTATTCTCACATTTATATTCACATGGATTTGGATTACATTCATTTATATCTATCAAAAAGAAAAGAAGAAAAATAAATCAATGTACACTTGAAAGAGTTTAGAAAATAAATCTGATTTATATTGCAAATTTTCCTAAACTTCTGAAGTTAATTAGCAATCAAGAACTGTTGCTGATATATTATTAACATTGCCCAAATGTTGAAGTAGAAGCAAACTTACCGACACAGAAGTCTGTATTATTGAGCTCAAAGCCCTTATTACAGAAACATTTGTCTATTTCACATCCATCAGCATTACTACAATTCTTGGTACAAGTTGTAGAAATGTTGTCTGAAAGTAATCAAAAAATAGATTTCAAAAGATTGATCAACAAAACAACATTATCATTATATAAATATATATATATATATATATATATATATATATATATATATATATATAGTTCGAATTTGTTCGAAATTCATGGTACAAGTTGTAGAATTGTATGAAAGTAATCAATAAGTAGATTTCCCTCAGATTGATAAAAAAACAACATTAGTCTAGTGGGAGTTCTGCTATCTTTACCTATTTGCGGTCAACTTAATTCAAAACCTTTAAGAATGTATTCTTTGTATTAGATCGATATACGTTAGATTCTTTAAGAATGGATTCAAAGAAAGATGGTGATGTAATGTAATGTTTTAGCCGCATGCTTATAGATGGTAAAAGTAATCAATAAACAGATTTCAACAGATTGATCAACAAAACAACATTATATATATATATATATATATATATATATATATATATTGTTGCTAATATCTCATTATTTATACCTACTAATATCTCATTTAGTTTCTATTCAGACTATATATATATATATATATATATATATATATATATATATATATAAAAAAGGAACTTTATTCTACAATTCGTAGTAAAAGTTGTAGAATTGTATTAAAGTAATCAATAAGTAGATTTCAACAGTTTAATAGGAGTTCTGGTATCTTTCACTAATTTATGGCTTTAGCCCTTTAAGAATGTATTCTTTATGTTAGATAGATATAGGTTGGATTCTTTAAGAATGGATTCAAAGAAAGATCGTAATGCAATGCTTTAGGAATGTGTTTATAGTTGGTAATAATCTTATTAAGTTTTCAATGTCTTTTCTCCTTAAAGGATTGCCATTTTTTAATTAGCATTAGTGAAAATTGAATTTTAATTGGCATTTTTAAAATTCTTTTTTTTTTCTGCTTCTCTCAAACTCGTAGCTATAATAAAAGTGAATTATATTAGATTGGTGTACGATTCTTATTTGTTCGTTATTCAAGGATATATATATATATATATATATATATATATATATATATATATATATATATATATATATATATATATATATATATATATATTATAAATATATAAAGGAAACTTTAAAAAATGCGTACTTAAAATGCCTGCATTCTTGTGGATATAAAATGGATCGTTAACAATTTCTCTCAAGCATCAAAACCTTTCGGTTACATCTTCATCATAAAAAAGAGAACTTGTACACCAGCCAATATGAAACCATACCCAGTTGTTGATCTCATTGTGTATGCTGAGAGACATGTCTTAAAAACCGTTTCCTTTTTCATCCATCTTGGATCTATTATACACAAAGATACTAAAATGGACAAAGAAATACAATGCAAAATTGGAGAAAGCTTCAAACAGCAAAGGGCAATACACTCTCTCATGTGAATGAATAAAACATAGGAAGCAAAATAAATTCTATTGAAAATCGTATGAAAATTTGCATATTTAAAGATTGCCTTGAGTGAAATAGATGAAATCTGGAAATCTGATCTACCTGACAACCTCAAACGGAGCTTCTTTCAAGCCACTGTTGAGGCGGTTTTAATGTATGGTGACACTGCTTGAAGCTTAACAAAAATCCTTATGTTTAAGTTTCATGGAACCTGCACTCAGATGCTGAGAGCTATATTTATATTCAAGACAACATACAATTGTATAACTGCTCTATGGACCTATTCTGATATTTTTACAATTTTAAGTGAATGCAGACTGCTCTTTGCAGGACACTGATGGGGATAAATGAACTCGCAATATTCTACTGCTCTGGATACATTCTCCACATAGGCTGAAAATGAAAACCTCCTAAATTGACCAAACTATTTATGATTGATAGAATTCCACAACATATGAACCCTCCGATCTTGATACATTTACCACTGAAATTGATTCTTTCATTCTTGAATGTCAGAGTAACATTTGGAAATACATAAACATTGCCTGGAAAAACCAATGTTTTGACATGTTTCATTGATAAATTGTCTTCATCAAAAAAAAAATTGTTATAACAAAATCCACATTATCGAGACAAAATCTTGATCCACGTTAACCATGACACATGACACATAGACACACACACAATTTTATATATATATCGACTATATATATATATATATGATTAAAACTGCACATTTTTTCAGAATGAATTTTGTACCATTGCATTTAACAATATGAACAATAATATGAATATTTTATGTCTATCATTTTTTATTACATCTTTCAAATTTCCGAATGTGTTATTTTGTTCTATTTGCCAAAATTCATAGAAACATTTATTTAATATTATTTTCCCCTGATTACTTCTAAGTGTTGCTGCATTCGTTTTCCAAGATTGTTCTGTGTGTATTTACGCAACTGTTTTTTTTTTATTACGACGTTGTCCTGTTGATTGAAAATAATTTCAAGTCACTCAAGGTGACGCCATATAAACGGTCAAAATAGATTTTTTTATATGCGTATCTGTTATTTTATTGTTGGCTGCTTTTCTTTTATTACAACAGTCTCCAGTGGTTCTCTATACTGTGTCCTGTATAAAATTGAGGAGTGATCAACTAAAATTTAATTCATTTTAATATTATTTTATTTATATGTCGTATGTTCATATATATATATCACAAATATATATATACAGATGTCTGAAATATAATCATTTTGACCTGACGTCCTTGACACACACACACACCACACACACACACATATATATATATATATATATATATATTAAAAAATCTAGTGTAAATTTTACAAATTTAATTTAACAAGAAAATTTGATCATTATATATATATATATATATATTTATATATATAATATATAAAGCCCAACACTAATCTGTATCAAGAGAATTAATGAGTTCAACCAGTCAAGGCTGAAAGTTATTGGGTCGACTGTGAGGCCTATATAAGGCTGTATTGAAATGAAAGTGGTTTTAATGTTAGAAAACTACTAACAGTTGAAGTACCTTTTCGATTTCAAGTAACTATGCCATATGTAGTTAAGAGATTGTTATCTTGGCCATTCACTGCCATATAGGAGGACAGATATCACGTAACAGTACAGTAATCGTTTCTAACGAATCTCTAAAACACTTATAAGTTTAAATGCAATATCAATCGTCATCTTGTCTCTTCCTGAAACCTGTTCTTTTATTGTACTTTATTCTCAGTAAAGTCTTCGCATTCTCTTCCATTCCCAGTAAACCCTTGCATCTTATCGGCATTAACACCTTACATAGGGAGAAATGATAAAGTTAAAAACCCCTGCAGAAAAAAGGCACAGTTCATTTACACTTCCCAAACTGCAGTACACAAAAAAAAGATTTTAAAGGTTTATAACAATTAAAATTTATATAAAATCTGAAGAACAAACATCAACAAAAAGAAGCATTTAAGTAAGTTTGAAAATATTCTTTTCATTTATTTTAATAAGTTTGAATCTTTTCCTATCTAGTAATGTGCTGAATGTGTTTCTCTTTATTGGCGTTTTATTTTATTCAGTTTTCGAAATCTGATCTTTTTGTTTAAAAGCCATGAATGGAAACAATTTCTTGTATGCAATGCCTGATGATACTGGCAATGAAATTTTATTCTAATTTATGACTTGAAACTCTCTGAAGTCCTTGAATATAATCCCTTTAAATAGTCTGTTTCAGACATTTGTAACAGACACTTGAGTGTGTCAGTGATATCATTTGGATAATGTTAGTGATGAGCAAGGTGTAAAAATTTCATCAGGACATGGAAAGTTATGGAAGAACGGAATCAATCAAAACAAGACGGAAGAATGACTTTTGGGTTCTGATGGAACTTAAATCGCGAAAAAACATTAAATAAAATAAGACAAGCGAATGTTCGTGCAACAAGTGCCTATTGCTGTCAATATTTGAATTTCACTCACTTACGGTTTTTTTTTGCGGGGGGATAAAGAAATTGTATTTTATTCCTGTTGTGGTCTTATTAGGGACAGAAATAAAGATACTAAGAAAGGAAAATAACAAATATATTAACAGAAACAGTAATACAAATATATACAAACGAAAGTGTTACAGCAAGAATGTTCGGTCCGACAGTCAGAGCTGACTGCAAACTTCCACTCACACAAAACACAGTACCTGCACACACACATAGCTATAGAGATATATATATATTATTAAAATTACCATAACAATTCCATACTAAAATCATGTTTAAGCTTCAGACGAGAATCTATTCGTTTACATCACATATACGGGGAAAGAATGAATTCAGATAATATGCAAAAACAGAAAGGAGTATAAGACAAGGATATGTCTTCTCACTAAACTTATTCAATCTATACTCTGAGGTCATTCTGAGAGAATTAGAAGTCTTACCAGGGTTCATTATTGGCAGCAACAATGTTAGCATAAGATATGCAGTTGATACGGTGTTGATACAGCAAGTCCTACAGAAGTTACCGAAGAAAAGTGATAAGAAAGGAATAGGCATCAATTGCAAGGAGACATGGTACAAGAGTAATGATACACTGGAAAACCTAAGTAGATTTATTTTCATAGCACTACTGAATATGCTAGGTGTAAACGGATGTGAACGCCATCGGACAATCAGCCTAATGAACCATATAATAAAACTTATCATCTGAGTTCTTGTGAATAGATCGCGCAGCAGAATGAAATCAAAAATAGGACAAGAACAGTTCGGGTTTGGTAAAGGCCAGGAAAAGGATATTTTTTATATATTTTTGTTTAGAATGATATCAGAAAGAGCAATAACAATGCAGAAGGATGTGTACCTGTCTTTTATAGATTATGCAAAAGCGTTTAACAAATTACACTTGAAAGAACTATTTTAACTGCTCGGTAGCCATTACATAATTGGAATTGATATTAGAATAATCCAGAACCTATACTGGCAGCAAACAGCCTGCATGCGGATAGAAAATGAATTCAGAAAATATACAAAAATAGAAATGGATGTAAAACATCGATATGTATTCTCACCAGATTATTCAACCTATAAAGTCAGTTGATTCTGAGAGAATTAGAAGTCCTACTCATATTCATTATATTAGCGGACACAATTTTAACAGCATAAGATATGCAGAATGATATTGTGCTGACAGCAGACTCAGAAAGGAAACTACAAGAACGTCGACAATAGAGAGTGTAGGAAGGCCTGAAGAAAAGACAAAATATCAATTGCAGAAAAACAGAATGTATGGATGTTAGCAAAAGAAACAGCCCAACATGCAAATTATAAATTGGAAATAGCGGATAAAGCAAGTACAACAATTTAAATATATCTGGGAAGTGTTTTAACAGAGGAAGGAGTGCGACACTGAAATCCGAAGAAGCATTGGCATAGCGAAAGATGCCTTCCAAAAGCTCAAAAGAAAGAATGTTCGGTCCGGCATCGTAGCGGTTTCTCAGATGTCAGGTTCGGTGTTGGTCTTGTGTCTGGGATGTGGTTAACTGATACCTGAAGCGCCGTTTTTGGTCTCCGCGTCGCCTCTTGATCTCCGCGTCGCCTCTTGATGTTATATGTAACGGAGTAAACTACGGGAAGGCCCGTGTTATTTGTGGGCACAATCTAAACAGCATTACATCATCTCTTTATTCCCTTTCTCTACTGTGGTAGCGGTGGTGAAGATGGCTGTGAAGGCCAAGTCTATTCCTGAAGAATCGTGAGCAGATGTCACAGAGTGTAGGTGGTGGACAGGGCTGAATGTGGGTGGTGGCTGGGGTCGGACCCTCCTACATTCGAAGATCCTCTTCATGTTGACGGTTGGACTCGAAAGTCTCGGTCCACCCTAGTATTGTCCAAAGGAAGGCTAATTTGTAGAGGTTTTCCACTTGTCATGGTCGATGTTGGCCTGTGTCAAGGATGTCCTTAACTGAAATTGTGGAGATCCATGATTGCCTACGCCAATAAGTTACTAATAAGAACTAAATTATAACCATTTTCATTTCTTGGATATGATATTCCAGAGCAAATGAAATTAAAACAAAACAAAAATGAATGTTAGTTTTAGATTCAGTAAAAGGATACATTTTTCAAAATCAGCTATAGAATTTCATTCATCATTTAAAAATATATTTTAGGCCCCGGTAAGTTAGTAAACTTCCCGGTGCATTTCTGTAGTTTACTATATTACAAGTATTTTCTTGTAGTTTACTATATTACAAGTATTATTAAGTATTAGAATAAAGAAAAGCTGTTGAAAGAAAACAGAATCTATGGCCACTAACAAGAATGAATTAAAGGCGCGGCTATGAAAAATAGTTTGTGTATCTTAAAACATATTTAAATCTAACTTCATATACAGAACTCATATATTGACCATTTAGAGTTTTAAACAAAAAAACCCTGTAATATTGACTGGTGAACTTTTTCAGTTCCAAGTTTTGATCTTCGGATCAGCAAAGAGATGACCAAAATGGTGGCTGTTCGGGAAACCCAGCAACAATGCACTGGGACATCTCACGAAATGTTGAATCGATGCATAGAAAAGAATTTTTAACTCTGTAGGTGTCTTCCAACGAATGAGACCGATATGGTATAGCATTTTTTTCAGCCATACTATTCTCCGGCTGTATAATTCTAAAGTCATAAAAAACGGCAAGCTATGCCAGTGAGACACGGAAGAAAAATAGCAAAATTTGCCAGAAGGTAAATGTCTTCCACTGACGATGCTTCAAATCTATATTTGGGATCTCATGGAGAGAACATTTAACTAACAAAAAAAAACATGGAAAGAGCTGTCCAAACTGATTTGCAAGACAGAATCACAGGACGTCGGCGATTGATCATGTATTGCGGATGCAATGGACAAGACCAGTGAGAACACCTTTGGTCTGGTAGCCGGATTGGGGACCTAGACAGAGTAGCAGATCATCCAAAACCTGGAAGAAGACTGTAGAGGAAGACCAGGCTGAGATGAGTCTGATCTGGATGGAATCTGCAGAACAAGCCCAGGATCGTGCTCGACGGAGAGTTCTTTTCGCCCAAGGTTCCATGAGGAACTAAGAACTAAAGATAATGTTATTTCCTCTAACAACTTCCAAAACTAATAATTAAAAACAAATAATGAAAACGATACTTACTGACACACTTTGTTTTATTCTTCAGTTCATATCCCTTCGCACATGAGCAAAAATAACTTCCTTCTGTGTTGTTACAGAAGGATTCACATTCGTTGGTTGCGTTGCTTTTACACTCGTCTTTATCTGTCAAAGGAAACACCCATTAATGAGATGATTGAACAAGAATACATTTTTAAGGGAATATTGTCACATTAAGAACTTAGACAAGTATTATACTATTTACAAATAAGATGAGGTCTGACCAAAATATGTAGTTTCTATGGTAACGGATCTGTTGCTATGGTAACGGAGCTAAAATACGCTGAGTGAATCCTCTTGGAACAGACTGACCTTCGACTCTGTTGCGCACACATACTAAGTTATAACATTCTCGTTAACTTTTGTTGTTTATAGCAGGGCAAGGAAGGGAAATGTGTAGAGTGTGGTCGTCAGCACAGAGGTTCCATCAGTGACCAAGGCTTGTGTAGGAGTTTTCGGCAAAGATAAACTTTCCCTATGCCCAGAAAACACAATATTCCCAGTATTCTTCCTGTACATGCATTTATTTTTGGAAAATGAGAGATTCATATTTGTTTACAAAACGAGCCAATACAGACAGTCAATAGTGCTGTAATAATGCAGCAATCTATGTGTGAATAAGTTTATTTCCAGGAAAATGAAACGAATAATAACGTATTATAATCCTCTAGGTTCTTCGCTTCATAACTAATGGATTATTCAGCTTTGAAAATGCAGAAAAGACACAGTGACGCTGTTTGGTTTCAGTGATAAAAAGAAAGAAAGAAAGGGAAAGGAATTTAGAAGTGGCGATAACTCTAAAGTTTTTAACGTCTGCTTCAGTGAAATGGAAGACTTTATCAAAATCTTTTATTATGAATAAAGATAAAGGATTTTATATAAAAATATTTTTGATTTTTCATTCATTTTAGAACCTTAAAACTTTTGGTTGAAAATTTTGTTGGTGATAACATTCTAATGATTTTTAACATCTGCTTCTGTGAAATGAAAAAGCTTATCAATTTTTAATCTTATTTCTTTAAATAATGACTTTCATTCATAATTATGGTTATTATTATTAAAGTTATTAAGTTCAAATATCAAACGATGCAATAGTTGACTTTCCACGGTTATTTTATAGTCGTAGAAATCGCAAGGAGCTTATCCAGTCATTAACGTAAGAATTATGACTCGTCATAAGATAAATATAATAAAAATCCGTGATATTTTCACGGGTACTACTCGTAGAAATAAATGTGTTACCTAAACAACGATTATCTTTCTGCAATAAATAGCCAGGGGGACAAGAGCAGTTGAATGTCCTGTTTGTTGCTTGTTCTACTTCCGGTGACAAATCTTGACAGTATTTTGCTTCTACGCATGGATTCTCAGCACAACCATCGTAATCTGTTTCGCAGTTTTTCCCTATGAAATAATACAACAAGCAATTCAATGATATTTTCACAAATGAATCAATATGAAAAAATATATGTATAAAAATATATAATTACATATAAAAATAATAATAATAATAATAATAATAATAATATCTGCACTGGAAAAATTGCAACTTCTACGAGAAGGAAACTGAAACAAACTGGTATAAACACTACCCAGACCCGGTTACGGAGATAGGACCTGTTATAATTCTATGGGACTACACAATACACACTGACAAAACAATCAAAGCCAACCGCCCAGATATTGTTATTAAATAACACAAAAAAGTGTCTCTTTATTGATATGGCAGTCCCTGCAGACTGCAATGTATCTTTGAAGATATTCAAAAAGCCCTCAAAATACAAGGACCTTGAAATAGAAATCTCAGAAATGCGGCACATGGGAACATCAACAATCCCTTTTGTAGTTGGAGCCCTAGGATTGATTGGAAAAGATTCCAGCAGACTAATTGAAGGGATTCCTGGAAGCCCATGTCTCAAAGAAATACAAAAAAATGTTCTCACAAGTACTGCCCACACTTTACGAAGGGCTTTATCTATGTAAAATATTTTTTTGTCAGTGGAAAGTGTCATTTCTAACCTTAGGTCTCTGGGTGGGACCCGGAAAGAAATGTGTATACGCCAGAAATCAAAGGAAATAAAAACAATAATAATAATAATAAAAATACGTGATGGCATCTATTGATATACGCAAAATTATATAATTCAATGTATATCCAGACCAACAGAATCTTTTGGCCAATAAGTTGCTCAATATTCTTCTAATGTAATAATTAGTTGCGGAAATTCAGAGCAGATATGATAGATCTAGAAAGATCGGCGAAGGTGTGTGTTTAAAAGCATTCATTGGAGCTTTCCTTAACCAGAAGTTCTCTGTGGCTGAACGGTTATAGCACGCTTAAGGTGGTTTCGTATAGGATGAGGATGCGATTCCTGCCGGAAAATGCATATTTTCTACGAATTTTCCCGAATAGTTAGGCCGGTTAATGTATTTAATACTGTTTAATTAAAGAAACGAGCATTTATTCAAATAAGTTCTATCTATTAAAAATAGCGTATGAACAGAATATATATATATATATATATATATATATATATATATATATATATATATATATATATATTTTAAATTTTATTATATATATAAAGGCAGTAAGAATTGGTAAAAATATGTTCACTTAAATTCAGCCAACAATGTATGTATAGGTAATTCTATATTGTATTTTTCTAGCTTGACAAAAACATGTACATTCAAATCAAAATTGTTAATAAACAGTCCAAAGTTCGTCTTTTTTTTCGTGTCTACAATACTAAGAAAATGTAGTTCTTCTGAATCTGCTCCATACTGAACACTTTCTCCCCCGATAAATTTACCAAAATGAAAACAATATATATATATATATATATATATATATATATATGACGTCACACATTATGAAAAGTCCGACAATTATTTTTTAAGACTTTTTAAAATTTTATACGCTCTTTTTATAGATACAAATATTTAAGTAAATGGTCTGTTTATAATAAACAGTATTAACAACATTTACCGGCATGAATGTGCGAGAAATTTTTCATATTAAAAATTTCTCTGACATTCAGGCCGGTAAATGTTGTTAATACTGTTTATTATAAACAGACCATTTATATATATATATATATATATATATATATATATATATATATACATTTATGACGATATATATATATATATATATATATATATATATCATAGAATATATATATATATAGAGAACGTCTGACGAGATTACACAGCAAACGAAGCTCTGAAGAATACTTTGCATTTGGGAGAAACACGTCACCAACAACGACATCTCTTGGACATCTCCACAGTTTATCGGGGCTACCATCCTTCAAAAATGCCCGTATAAACCTCCGAGATGGACGGCCCCTCGGCGGAACGTCCGGGTTCCTTTCTGCTCAGAACCGTACATTCCATTCCATTCGTCTCCCAAGTATCATCCTGTTTGGAGAATTCACAAGCGGCAAGAATGTACGTGGGGCCCAAAATGTCGCTTCAAGGAGCTATTGAAGACATTCTTGACAACATCGATCCTGAGATCTAGGAAACCGTTGTTACAAATCAACCTTCCTGACGTAAGACCATCCAGCGGTGGTGTGGGGTCGTGAGAGGCCGAGACTTTCGAGTCCAACCGTCAACATGAAAAGCATTTGCGGCTTAACGTTAGTATGGCCGAGTCCACCATCCACACTCTGTGACTCCTGCTCACGATTCTTCTGGAATGCGTCCCACTCGACTCGCAAGTATCATACCGTTTGGAGAATTCTCCAGTGGCAAGAGGCTACGCGGATGTCCAAAACGACGCTTCAAGGAGGGCCTGACTCACCCAGCCACGTCCATCATCCACACACCACTGTGAATTCTGCTCACGATTCTTCTAGAATGCATCCCACTTGACTCCCAAATATCATCCTGTTTGGAGAATTCGCCAGTGGCAGAGGCTATGCGGTTACCTAAAACGACGCTTTGTGTGATTCTTGCTCATGACTCTTCAGGAATAGGCTAGACCTTCGCAGTGATCCCCGCCACCACTACCAAGCAGGGGAGTAAGGGAATAAGTAAAGAGGATGGAGATCTTGATACTCGGATGCAAGCGAATGACGACGATGACTAATACAAGCCTTACTAATTAATCCATAACTACTAATGATTTAGATTTTTATTTTTATTAAAATTCTGTTCATCGTTTTTAATACAATAAACATTGCCGAGGAGTGGGGACATTTATCATTTTTATAATCATAATTTTTTTTTTAACTAACGATTTCATTAAAACAATTTTTCGTACTTGACGATGGAATCTCTTTTATGTAATGATTGTATTTTGTTTTTTGGCATAAGGTGAATAAACCTAATTTTATCAAGTCTATAAATTCAATTTCCTGATATTTTTGTTTTGTGCTTGTCTTACCTTCATATCCTTTATCGCAAGTACATCGAAGTTGTTCATAGAATTGCTGATCTATCTCAGAATTATCTTTTGAGCATTGCCCATTCCCAGAACAACCACTACAAAGTACAATCTTCAATGTAAATCCTCCTGAGGTCTGATTTTTTTCATCAATCGCAATAATACTGGAAATAAAATTAAAGGAAAAAATAAGGTAAAAGGAAGATGGTTATGAATTCATTCCCCGAGGTCTGACCGAAATGTTGTAATAATAATAATAATAATAACAACAAAAATGAGGACAATAGTCCGCGTTTGCATTGTTGAGGGAATCGCCACTTTTGTTTCAAGTTGGGAACTTTTTTTATTCACTAAATATTTAATGATTCCTAGTGTATTTTCCCTCAAATAATATTGATGGACTCTTGTGAGTCCAGGCAAAAATAATTTAGGAAATCATGGAATGTAAACAAAGAGTATTAGTAAATATATTAAACAGACATGTTACAAAAAGATAAATAAGAAATGAAGTTAAAGTTGTGAAGTGTTCAGTCATCATTTAGTATGTGTCTCTGAGGAACATACGTGTCAACAGAATGAGAAGAAAACAATTTGCCTCTTCCAAAGTCAAAACGAAAAGTGGAAGGAGCTTTCAAATTTCTCGTTGCCTGAGATTATCATCATGGGTGAGAAGGTAATTCAATATTTCGCCCACCCCTCCCGTGATCATCGTAAGGGGTGATAATCCAACAGTAAAATGTAAATAGTAATATATGAATTGTCTCCTTGGCAGATTTTATGTTGTAGATACTTTTTATCGTAATTTAGTTCACAGAAATGTAACAATCAAATTCTGCAGCAATTAAATAGATCCCCTGGCAAATCATTATCCCACACACTGAGAATCCAGTAGTGGTATTTTGCTAGTTACATTTTTAATGGGATTTTTATGGTCATTATCGGTCGTAGTAATCAAATTTATTTTCTTGACTATATTTTTCACACCTGAGACGACTTTTGGTAACTAAATATTTGAGAGTTATTGTTTTTATTCGAAGATCAATTCCACTCGGAAATGTACAAGCCTTGATAATTGAAAAATATTTAGGTGATGATATTGAATAATCTAACTTAATTGTAGGCTCAACTTGTTCACGGACAGGTGACCATTGATTCCGTCAGAGGGACTCTCCGCCCTTGTGTCATCATCGTATTGGCTACATGGATAGCTATGGAGTCCAATCTACCAAATTACGCTAGATAGTCGGTGACCCTACAAAATGATTAATCCACTCCTTTGAGAGGTGTTGTTTTCCATCTTGCTGGTTGTCTAACCTCCCTCCCTCGTTATAAGGCGTGGCGGGGAAAACTGATTTGCTTGCCAATAATGCGACCATGTAGCAGGTACCATTTGATCACATAGTACGAAGAGCAATCGTCGAGTGCTCTGACTTAGAGATGTTATCGCTTGCTGGCCATATTTCCGATGTGGAGACGTCTCACTTTGCCGATTTTAAAACAAAGGACATGTCATTTCTTATTTCATCATGCCTTTATTTATTCTAGCAGCTTCTATTAAGTCCCTAGTTTTGTTAGCATTCGTTTGTTTTTGGAAAAAAATTAAATTACTTGAGTAATTTAACTCAAAAATATACAGGATGTAGTTATTTTGAATTGATTAATACCCACTGGATACGTCATAACTTTCTGAGCAAATTTTTTAAAATCCTACCTGATTACCACGAAACATGCATTTTACCTTTATCCTGATTGCATATCAACTAATTACGGACATTATATATATTACGCCGTTAGTATCTTATCTTAAAGACATGAATGACCTTCTAACTTAATGTCAAAAAGGTATAGATATCCAGGGTTTGTAAAATGACTGATTCAAACACAGTTTAAATACATTAATACCGGTGTGATACTATTTGTTGTTACCGCGGTAAGACAAAAGCTACGAAAGCTTTCTTATCAATAGGAAGTGTTATGTGCTGAGAGACATCGAAACGAGAAGGGTTAGTACCAAAACCCCGTGGGAAGAATTGAGTATTTAATTCACACCTAAACGATTTGAAATGTGTGTCGAGCAGTTTGAACAATAGAAAAGTGACCCAGACTTAGAGGGCGATGTTGATTGATACACAGCTTCAAATGCAGTAAAGCGAAAATTTCATTTTTTGTAAATATCGAATTTGGAGTTGATTCCTCTGGTCGAAAGTTGAGTTGAAATACCAGGAGAGGATGGATAAGCTACACACGCTCACTGAGATTTAGTGAGAGGTAATAATATGAGAGAATGGAAGAAGGAAATTTTTTCAAAGTTATGACGTAAGACGGAGGGGATTCGCCAAAATACTAATACCTCGCCATACCCCGACCATGACAGTTTGGGCGAATATCCATAAATACAAATGCGCGAGACGAGTCCCAGAAGAGAGAAGAGAGGCAGAAGAGACGGAGATGAGACCATAGAGACGAGAGAGGCCCATGTGATTATCTACCGACAAAAGCCTCCGATTTCAGTCTTTTGCCAGACTTTATCAAAACAGCAAATAAGATTTTACTAAGTCAATAACGATAGTATCACTTCCCATTTAGATGCGGGGTCGGACTGATAATTAATTGCATGCAAACTCTGATATAAACCAATTATTGTACGGAGGACTGATATAAAAACTGTATTTACTTTTGTTCAATTTACTCGGGTGTTATTTTTTTCTGTACGTCATCGCCCTGCTTGGACCAGCCCGACACAAAGATACCAGCGACGATTCGATCTTGGCCTCCTTAGGATTAAACTTAAATCACAACGTAGGATAGAGCAGGTCGGAGATCGAAGCGGTCACTTCAGGTGGAAGTTTTCTGCGACCGGGGAAGGTGTTGTACGAATACACCGGAATAAAAGCTAATTTTATAATCAGATATTATTTTCTGAACAACTGCTTGTCAGTACTTAAATTTTCCCTTTTAAATGCTAAAAATGTTTTTAATTTTAGTGCTAGCAACTGGATAAAATGCACATTCAGTGAAGCAAGATGCGACTGGCACTGGTTGGTTGACGTCGTTCAATTCTTCCTTGTGACAATGATCGGCCACATTTTATAACATAATGACATTGCAGTAGCTCACCTATTTGGGATACGAAACTTTGCAACATCCACCATATTTCCCTGATCTATCACTCACTGACTACAGCCAAAAGACATTCTGTTGCAAAGAAAACGCATTCACAGATATTGTGACGTCTAAAGGTTGTGTAGAAAGACTATCTGACCTTCACTAAACTATTATTAAAACATAGACTCGTCCATGAGTAAAACGTCTGCTCGTGGAATTGTGACAAAAAAAGTAAGTAGCTAAGTCGTAACGCTTTCAGTCGTACTGAACTTCTGTACTCTCAATCCATGTCCTCATGTAATTAAATCCTTCTTCACTCAAACTTTTCTTTCTAGTGTTTTCCTTACAGTCTTACTAACGAACAATTACGAGCGTTATAAAAACTTTAAAATAAAAATTAAATCAATGTAAATTAAAAACATGTATTAACATCTATCTATATATAAAATACTATGACATCCGTCTGTCCGTCGCACTCTCTAAAATAGCCATATATTGACCGATCGAAACCAAATTTTTTTTATAGAAGTGCAAACAGGTAAGGGGCGGGGGTACAAAGTACAGTTGGTTTTACTAGGGTGCGTAGCTTCGTACAAAAACTTCCGTTATTTTTTTGATAAGTTTCATTATTTAATATACAAAATACTGCCACTATTTAAAAAAAAACAAATTAATGATTAAAGTAACAAATACTTATTTAATAAAAATGCAATATCGTTTTTTAATAAAAATGCAATATCGTTTTTTGCATATCTTTTCTTTAAGTTTTTATATATTTTGCATTCTAGTAAAATATAATGCAATAGCAGTAGTACTGTAAATATAAACACAGTAGAAAGAACAGAGTTTATAAATCTCGACAAAAAAGTTAGCGATAAATTCAACAATACTAAATACTGTGAAGATTTTAACACGCTAACGCATATTGCAAAAAATGTGCAATTACATGAAAAATGTATGTCGTTGAGTTATAAATGATTTCCGTTTTTGTTCATTAATTTATTCTTCGACAAATACAACTGTATTTTATTCAGTTATATATTCACCATTATTTGCAATGTTGTGTTTCCACTTTAGAAATATCTCTTCGATAACCTTTGAGAAAAATTCCGCAGTTTTTGATATGAAAAAAATTTTCGATGAACTCCTGAATCCGATTTTCATTATCCAAACTTTTTCCCATCAAGGTGTTTTGCAGCGATCGAAAAAGGTAATAATCGTTTGGTGCAAACGGGGATGAATAGATTGAACGTTCCGAAATGTTACCTGTATTGTTTCCTATTGACGAAAGTAGGTTGGTTTTTCGAACCACTCTTTATTGACACGTTGCAGCTACTGGGTGTATAAATGTGCATTTAATGTTTCATTGCATTTTAAGAAATTTAAATGAATAAATCCCCGACTAACCACCACGTGCACTTAAGTTTATTCTATGGATCTTAGATTTTGTGGTCAGTTGTAGAAATTCTTGTCGCTAAACTGTCTTTTGGTTTCAATATTATTGTATGTCATCTATTTTTCACCACCAGTTGAAGTAGTTATTTAAAATGATATATTGGTCATTAAAACTGTTTTCCTCAAAACGGACATTACTTATGACTCAAATTAAATTGTTAATAAAATACTCACCTGATATTTACGGGTGTCAGCTGAGGAATCAAAATGTTTAAGGTGAAATTGTAACCGTTGTTTATCACATTGATGTATTCTTTGCCGTCCTGAATTTGAATTCTCACCGTGTCGTTGTCCTTGTCTGTGACGTGGATTTCCCATTTCTTCGTCTTGTTCACGGTAATTTCCAGTACCTTTTCTCCATTAATTACAGG